AGGAGACCGTTGTGTCATTTTCACTGGAGTTGGGAGATTGAGCATGCTTCATGCTCAGATGCAAGCTAAACCCAATTGTGAGCTTGTTGTGTTACTGCAGCTAAATTTATTGTTTTTAGAAAGAAGGCAATTACGAGGTGCTGCGTTCGATCAAGTCAAAGACGAGAAGTTTAGTGCATCGACACCTTTATCACTAACATTTGTTTTCCTTCAGGCTCAAAGGTAATTTCTTTTATATTGATTTTTAATCAATAAAATAATAATTAGTAAATTAGATAATGTGTCAATTTTAAATTAAAAATTATTAGAATCATTAATAAAATGAAATATAAATAGGCAAATGATTAGAAATTGGGATTTTAGGATTTGAGATGATTACTATACATTAAATCAAAGAATTAAACATTGATATAAGCATACAATGACCAATTAATCATCAAATTAATTATTGTAAATATTTTTTTTAGGTATCAAATTAATAAAGATGAAGTCAAAGTAAAGGATTGAAAATTTAAAAAAAGTCATATAACATTAAGGTCAATACTTACGTTTTTATGATATGATAATAATTTTGTTCTATTTGGATGAAATGCATTTACAATTACTGTTACTAGTTATATTGATATCACTGCATATTTATGATCTGTTGGTTTTATTAAATTTTTTATCATATTGTAAGAATGACATGTGTACTCAATATTATTAAATTATCATAAATATTGAATATTATACAAATATATTGATTGCTATACAAATGAAAATTAAATGGTCATTATTAGATAGTGATTGTTATTGCATGTTTGCTTGTTCATGCTGAACGATGAAGTTTATTTCTTTCAGGTACAAGCAAGGGAACATCAATGTACCCGTACACGTAAATGACAAAATTTATTTATATTGAAGTATCTTAATTGGTACATATTTAGATAGTACTCCTGTGACAGTTGGATATAAAAATAATATAGATATGAAAACAATATAATATGCCATAATAAAAATTTTGAAATATCTTGATCGAACATTTTTATAATTATAAAATGTCAAATATTGTTTAATTAATTTATTTAAGGCTTAAGTAACATGTGTATTATTTTCTTTTTTACTGTGTTACTATAGTTTATGAGTATGTGTATTTACTGCTTTAGTTATCTCATTGTGTTTTACATTTAACTTTTAACATTTAAGATTTTGTGTAATGATGAGTAATAGAGAAGAGAATTTCTATATCAACATGCATATTTTGAAATATGATAGATTTAACTGCATCAACTATTTTGTTTTTAGTAGTGGCACTTTTATTTCTTTTGGGAAGTATTAGTTATAGAAAAAAAAATCTTATTTTTCATTGTTCGACCTTCGGTCACTGCCTTAGGAAATTCCAAGCTCTGAGTCGAGTCATAATAAAAGTAGTATTAAAGATAGTTTAAGATTAATTAATGTAATATGTATGAAAGATATGATAATTATACAAATTAGTAAAGAAAATTAATAATAAAAAAATAATGATTAACTATAATTAAGTAATTATTTTAAGTCAAGCAAATGGATGCATCTATGATTATAGAAGAAGGTGAGGCGACAGAATATGAAGAAGTGTAGCCTGTTATCGCTGTGAACACGGATACTCTGACCCAAATGATGGCGCCGTTGACACAGTTGATTCAAGAGTTCAGATGATAGTTTAATAGAAGTGATACAATTATTGTGGATAAGTATTTGAACATATTTCAAGATTTGAACTGAATATCCGATTGAAGCGGAGAATTAATTAATGCGAATTGAGAAAATATTATATAGCATGACAAGTCCAGATGAATGAAGAGTATTGTTAGCTACCTTTATACTGGATGAAAAAGATGAAAGGTGGTGGTGTGGGCAATATTTGGATAGGGTAGGGGACATACCAAACATGATAAATTGGGAGGATTTTTTGGAGGGTTTCAATGAATAGTTTGTATCTCTATTTGATCGAAGATCGATGCATGACAAGTTTATGATGTTGGGAGGATTTTGTGGAGCTTTTCAGAGAGTGATTTTTACCACAATCAGGGGGCTGTAAACTAGCCGAATCTAGTTGATTATATCATAGTTCGAACATTGCTTGGAAATATATGCTGTTCATGTTCGGCTTGAGATTGTGTTGTACTTTCATATATTGTTCAAGCTTGATTTGTTTAAATTTTTTAATGCTTGAACTTAATTTTTATTTGATCTGTTTATGAAAAGGGAACAACTATTTAAAGGAGCTAAAAATTCAATGGACTATTTAGCTTTTACAAATCAGATTGCAGCTTCTAATTTATCGATTATAAGCTATAAATCCTACAATATCATAAATCTCGTTTCTCCTTCATTTTGCCCTACATCCCTCATGGAGGGGTTGTTTAGTAGAATTATTTGTATTACATTTAAGCATGATATAGCTTAAATCCTACAAAACAACCGAAAATGACAACTTTAAAACCTACATGAACTTAAATCTTGTTTCTCTTCTTTTTTGCCCTAATCCCTCATTTAGGGGTTGTTTGATAGCAGGAAATTAAGCATCATTAAGCAGGATTTAACCTAAACCCTACCAACAACAACAACAACAACAACAACAAACCTTTATCCCACTAAGTGGGGTCGGGTACATGAATTTTTTTTCTCCATTGCGTCCTATTGAGTGTCATATTTTCATTTAATTCTAATAAATTAAGATCATTTTTTATACAATATGCCCAAGTCTTTCTTGGTTTACCTCACAAGTCGAATCTAAAACATCTACTCTCCTAATCGGATAATGAGATGGTTGATGTTTAATGTGACCAAACCATCTAAGAGGACTCTCTCTAATTTTGTCAGCCATTGGAGCTGCACCAACCCTATCAAGAATATATTCATTTCACAATTTGTCTCTAAGTGTAAAGCCACTCATCCACCTAAACATTCTCATCTCGGCAACACTTAACTTAGTTTTATGCTTCTCTTTTAATGACCAATATTCAGCGCCATAGAGCAATGTAGGTCCGACCACCATCTTATAAAATGTTTCTTTTAGTTTAAGCAGTACACTTCTATCACACAATAGGCCCGAAGCATTCCTCCACTTAAGCATTCCTCCACTTCTTACCAACCAACTTGAATTTTACTAATAACATCCCCATCTATATCACCATCACTTTGAACAATAGATCCGAGATACTATATCACCATTTATATCATTTAGTTGCATGATTTGTGTTAATATCTTTGACTTAAAATATTCTGCTTTATTTAGATTTGAAATTATGTATTCTTTCTCTGTAATTATGCCTGGTTGCCCTCTCTCTGTATGATGATAAATCCAATGCTTTGAGTTCCTCTATGAGCGTTTTTTTCAGGATAGTTTTCTAGAAAACAGACTAATTTAAAATATTTTGAATCAAGGCATTAAATGGCTTGAGCTAAATTTTTTCCCTTCAGACCTGTTCTTTCTTTAAAGCTGCAATCTATTTTGTGAAGATTGGATGGTGATTCTCCAACATTCTATTCAAAACTGATTGCGAGAAGCGTTTTTTATGGCCTATTGTAGTATAGGTAAGGATTCTAATTATATATATGTGGACAGGATTGAATTTGAATTGGTCAGCTTATGGCTTCTAAAATAAGCAGTTCTATAACTAACTAATTATCTCTTTTGTTTCTGTTAAGTTGAAGATTTCCTTCCTTTTGAATTTGTATAAATTAAAATTTGAAGTGCGTTTCCAATGTCCTTGAGCAGGATTTTTCATAACTACTGTTGTCCATAGTTGATATTTTGAGGTACACAGATATTAGGTGCCCATTCATATGGTGTTAGCTATGTGATATTTTATCTGATTTTAATCTTTAAAAATGTAGGACATTTTTTACCTGTGTTAGAAGTAACATGCTTAGCAATTGAGATATTGTAGCCTATTGTCACACTCCCCCATCTTCAAGAATAATTGGCAAGCTAAGCTAAACATGAGAATGGAAGATTCTAGAGAAGGCCAAAATGTAGAGAGCAATCCAAGGGACTCTAGAAGATTACATGATATTCTAGAAAAAAAAAAACTTGAAAGGAGTCTATTCCAAAGAATTCTAGAAATTTTCACATAATTCCAGGAATATGCTGAAAGAAGCAAGCATCAAGAGAACTTTAGAATATTTTGGAAAGTTCTAGAAGCATGTATGTGCAAATAACAATGTATGCATCTGAGTACCATCCAAGGTTCCTAAGCATTCAAGCGTTCTAATCACTCTTTCTTAGTGAAGTGTTTCTTTCTTCAATACTTCTTCCTGCTTTTCTTCCTAGAGTGTTTTGTGTTACAAGCCCAAGCGTTGTGATGGTTAAACTGATTTAGTGCCAAGAAAGAATGCTAAAGCCGCACGGGTGATTTGAGACAAATTTGTCCGTGACACTATGGTGTACACTTTTGAGGGAAATTTCTGAATTTCGCTCAATTTATCCTGGTGCAAACTTTTCAAGACATTAGTGAACTTGCTGTTTTATGTGATGGATATGCTTGGTTTCCTGCATTATAGGTTAGATGGTCTGAATAGAAAATGAACAAAAACGTTCTTTTGCACTTGGAAGCTTTATCATAATGGCAATAAGGCTAACTCGAGTTCACTTTAGTAATGGCATATCCTCACATTCTTATTTTATTTCTTGCACTATGCGTTTTGTCTAAGCTGTTCAGATCGCAGGTTGATCTAAGAGTGCTTTGGTCTTTGGAACCTCATGGTGTTCTGTTTTGATCAAATTAATATTTAGCATCCGATTGGTATTTTTATTCAATCAGAACCAGGTTATGAAGTGCTTTCTGTACTTAAAACTGGATTATGTTTGTTTATCTTAAATAATTGTTGATAAACCCTGTTTTGGTTCTATGCTATTTTGGATTGTTTAATTGTGATTTTACTTTTTTAAGCAGATATTTTTAATTGAGGATATTTTCTAGGTATCTTATAGCTTTCTTTGCTATTTATTTATTTAGTCTTTCATTATGGATCAGGTAAGCCGGATGCGTCCACGGTTGTTTATAAAGCTGGTGAATGCATGCAAGAAATTTTAAGAACTTGGAGAGAATTTGAGGCATCTCAGGATGGTAAAACTGCTGAAGCCTCCCAAAACTATCCTACCCTTGAAATTAGAATACCTGTGGAATATGTTACTTCTACCAATCGCCAGGTAAGTGATTTTTTAGGTTTGTCTTAGTTTGGTCATTTGCTTCTTTAAAGTTGGAATGGAATGCTCTTTAACTATTTCAAAATTGCTTAGTGGTTAATTTGTTACTCTAATTGGAAGAATATTTTCTGATGTAGAAAGATGCCATTTCTTTGGGTTGTAGTTTTACTATGAAGGTGACACGAAACTAGGGCAACTGGTTGGTGTGGGAAGGTTAGGAAATGGGTTTGGACATTGTCGAAAAAGAAATGGAAGCGTGAACACCGATGGTGGGGAACGACGATAAACTGCTGTTGGATAGTCGATCGAATGCTGCAACAACAGTTTGGCAGTCGTCTGGTAACGGCTGGGAGAATGGCGAAATAGTGAAGTCCGAATGAGGAGGTTCATTCGCCTGTTCTCTTCAAGATACATATTTACTACTTTAAGAAAACTTGGAAACTATTCTCCTAATAGCTTAAACCAATAAAAAATTCTCAAAAATAGGAACTACAACATATAAATAGTCTCCTCATTAAAAAAACCCTAATTCCTACTTCACTGTGTCTAGGTAAGCTCACCACAAAATTCATACTCAAGTCCAATCAGGGCGTCTTTGAAATGAGAAGAGAAGACCTACCAAATGCCATACCCTACATTGTTTAACATTTCTCTCTACATTTCGTGCCACTCTGGGTTAGTAGAAATTCTATTTTAGTATAAGAGAGAGCCTTGTCTTTGTCAAAATATCCCATCATCCTCTTATTGTGACATTCTTATGAAATGCTCTTCCTGAGTGAACTTCGAGGAATGCATTATTTGTTATAGAGGAATAGTGATACCAGAGTTAACCCAAACAACAATAGGAACACAATTACTACTACTGAAAAGTAAAATAGGCTGTTGCAATCAAACACACTAAAATGATAATAATAACAATACAAACTCACACTAGGGTTTGATCCGTGGGTGGTGGAGGTTATCTAAGTTGTCCGGAAGTAGTGGTAGGTGGCTATAATGGGATGGATGGAAGGGAGGCGAGTTGTGGGGTAATTGAGGGTGGTCGAGCTGGAGGAAGAGTCAGTGATGGAGAGGTGTAAAGAAGGTGGCTGAAAGGTGGTGACGACATAGAGGTTGGATGTGGTAAATGGATGTCAGTAGTAGGAAAGTGCAGGGGAATTGTGGTGGTGGTTTTTTGTTTGAGCTGGCCGCG